GCCCTTCTCTTGTCGTTCTCGTTCTATGCGCAGCATCGAGAGTAGGTTACGGTGACAAACGGCCATGGGATCAAAAATCCTGATGTCGAAGAAAGTTCGCTGTCCCCGCGTCCAGAATCCTCGAGCACTGACGTCCACACGGGCTTCGTTAGATGTGTTTGATGTCCTGTGTTGGAAGATCTGCCATCCAGTGAAGGAGGGTCGGTTCACCATGACGTCCCGGCAGATTTCCTTCAACATATTTGCTGTGAGATCCCTACCTCGTCATGCCTCAGCATATGAAGCCCTTCTTGGAAACCATGGCGTGACGCCATCATAGAATAGCCACACGCATTGGGAGGGCTAACCATCTACTGGCCAACCGTACCTTAGAGCAATGGCATCTGTAAATTCTTGTTTGTTAAGGCTGAAACCATTTGCCCTTATCGGTAACGTAGTTAGCCAATTCGAGGCGCCCACCTCCTGCGCTATAGCTACTTTTTTGTCAAATTTTCGGAACCAGCAGCAATAGTTGCTGCAACATGTCATTTGGCAGTGCTGCCGATCTGTTGTAAGGACCTATGATTTATTAACTTCGCTGGTGTCCGCTTTGTTGCATTCTGGGCTATTATGTGGTCAGTGAGGGCTGCCGTGAGCTATGAATTTTGATGTTCAGAGTCGGAATCTCCTCTGGATTAGTTAGTCCCATCCCCAGTCTTGGTGGAAGTGCAAGAAGTGTTCTTTCTACTAGGTTAAGTCGGGTGTTTCACTAGTTTGGGAATGAACTTGACACTGATTGCTTCTTCCAAAGGGTGGAGGAGGGTCGGATCTCAGGATGGTACGCATCAGGTAGTTCCAACGATGCTGACTCATGTGTGAATGCTGCAAAGGCCGCATGTGGCTCTGTGTTAGCAATCTCGATAGAGCATGGATTTCGCTAACCACTCATTCACTTTTTCCCTACGTACTGGGTCTTGAAGTCCGTAGTGCCAATTACTGCGCCTAGATGTCTTTGGTCCTTAGTTATTTTGACCTCACTTTGCCGAAAACCTCCACTGCCCGATCATAATGATCTGGCTTCACGATGAGGAAGGATTTGCTGGCGTTAGGGTGGTACCCTATATGTGGACCTCGCGATGTTACCAGGTCCCACCACTTTTGATGTCCTCCACTTTTCCTGCTCTGTGAGGTCATCAGCATATGCCACTTGTTTGACCCCAGTTGTTTCATACTTTATTTTTGTTGGAGCACTGATAGGCCTATTGCATACATTGCTACTACTACTACTACTACTACTATTGCTACTACTACTTTTTTTATAACGTGGCCTCCATCCTCCCCTTATAGCCACACCTTCGCCACCATTTTATTACCTTAAAATTAAATATCCTAATACATAAGTAGCTATCGTAGCTGTGTTGAGTTAGTTGAAGTATAGTGTATTATATTATGAAGTTTGAAATGTTGTGTATTATTTATGGTGTATTTTGTATGACTAAGACTGTATAATACACCAATATTCATCACCTCATCACGCGTAGGTCCTAGGATGCACCACGACACACAACAACCAGAGGCCGCCGCGGACACAGACATAGTAGTGATCTGCGTCAAACCTAATATCATAGGTCAAGTCCTCCGTGACCTGCACCCGTGTGTGACCCTCTCTCCCGACCTCTAGTGACCTCCGTGGCTCTAGGAGTGACACTAGCTGACATCGAGACTGCCCTGCCCCGGAGAGTAGGGTGATAAGGGTCATGCCCAACACCCCTGCCCTGGTACAGATGGCTGCGTCAGTGTTTGCCAGGGTCGACACGCTACCTAGATGATGCCCGGCTGACCCACAGGTACGTTGATGTTGTATGGTGCTGGGATCCATCTTTGTGTCGTAGCTAAGTGAGTCAGTTAGATACGTTCTCACATCACAAGTTAGAGGAAAGTTTGCAGGGAACCTTTGAGAATCCATCTGCTTCTCCATCAGGATGCTCTCGGCTGTGGGAGAATGTGACGAGGTGCCTGAGACCTTCTGGACGCCGCCACGGACTAAGCGGTTCTGGTCCTGCCTATGTAAGTCTCAAAAGTCTGCCTTTATAGTAATAATTTATTTTGCTGTTTTAACCTCTTGAGTACGAACGACTGTACCTGAGTACGGAGACAACACCTTGAGTACGGAGACAACACCAGTAACCCCGTTTTCTATACCAGAACAGGACTACTTAGCCATGTTGCACAATTCGTTCAGTTATCCATTAAATTTCCTATTCAAGTGTCTCGTTTTCTTTGGTTGCAGATGTACGTGGCCCTGAGGCGCTGGCTGACGGTGGTGTCAAGATACCCCTCGATCCTTGGCCCTAAGTTAGCTGCCCAGACCATGATGGTAAGGAGATAAGTTTCAGACGGGATAATATTGGTAGGGTAAACGTCAGGTTAGGTCGGTCAAATATGCGTCGGCTATATGACCTAGATCCGACTTTGTATAGCTGAGCTGACCCATGACCAGAGACCCAAGGCACTGAATAAACTGGACGTGGTATTGAGTCACCTACTATGAATGGATTTTGGATTGTTCTAATATGCCCAGTCCAATTCTAAAGTTGTGTTAATTTCCATATCTCATCTACCGGTAACCCCAACACTGAGGTAAAAAATAGGTATTATAATTTTTTTGTTAACCTAACTAGACAGTGGACTGGGGTGGTTATTCTTCAGGTGATCTTCCTTTACATATCTGTCTGTGTCTCTGCTCTTATTATTATTATTATTATTATTATTATTATTATTATTATTATTATTATTATTATCACTATTATTATATTATCATTATCACACCTGTTCGGCAGGGGTCATGCGAAGATGGTGTTAGCCACAGGTAAACATCCGCCAGCTGAAGGATGACGTCTGCTCTCCTGGGGGTGAGTCTCATATCTAACCTAACCTAACCTGCCCGCCTCACTAACCTAAACAATAGTGTGTAAATAACGCTGTTTATTCGTCTACTGCCCACTGCCCTGACTTATGTGTGGATCATATACAGGGGAAAGTTGTGGAGGCAAGTGTACCAGTTAGGTGGACAATTTAACGTAGGAACCTTTGAGTACTCATTCTTTGTGTCGTAAGTGAGTCAGTTGGATACGTCCTCACATCACCATGAGTTAATTAGATAAGGTATAGTGTGTGTGTGTGTGTGTGTGTGTGTGTGTGTGTGTGGTTTACGCTAATATGGCCCGTGTCTGTGTTCACTATAGGCTGCACCATCCAGGGGTCCACACACTAGAGCGAGCTTGTCTGAGGGCAGCGCTCATCGATGCAGTCAAACTGCCACTGCCAATTTCTGCTGCCGCCGGGAAGTAAGCTGTCATCGGAATGTAACTATTGTCGTGCACTTAATTTGGTTCATCTTTCCTGACGCCGATGCAGCTCTACTATCTGCCTCCCGCCCCTCCACACTCAGTCATCAATAGTTATATATACTTGCGTCAGCACAAACACACAATTTGTATAAGGATATGTTACTTTGTTATGTTATATTTGGATTTTAGTATTTTGTAATTTTTTTATATATATATAGATAGATAGATAGATAGATAAATAGATAGATAGATAGTGTGTGTGTGTGTGTTTTTACAGTACAATGTTTTTCCACACTAGCTAAAATGTTCAATCAATATCACTGATTTTGTACTGCTCTACTGGACTGTACTACACTGATTGTAAGGTACTGTACTACTGCACTGTACTGTAATACGTTACCTGCACTGTCTACTACTGTATGTTGTATACTATAATGTGCTGTAGTATACTGTACAGTACTGTATTGTACTATACAGTGCAATAAGGAACTGAACAGCACTGAACTATGCTGTATTGTTGTTTGAATTTACTGTACTGTAGTGTATTGTAATATAATGTACTATACTTCACTGTAATATAGTGTATTGTACTATACTGGACTGTTATAATTTACCGTACTAAGGATATACTGTAATGTTGTGTATTATACTGCACTGTAATGTACTTTTATACGCACTAATGTATGTTGTGTAGTGAATTGTCATACACTGTACTGTACTCTGCTGTTCTTACATATATAAACAGTACTTTCATCAGACCTTTGTTTATCTTTAGTTTACTGTACAAGTTATCAGGATTTACTGTAATTTACAAGAGCTAAGCCTCACCTAACCAACCCTAACCTAACCAAACCTACAAACGACTGAAAGTGTCAATATTCTCTGTAGACCCTTGTGTGCATATTAACTTGTAGCGTGGGTCACTTAACTACTTGAAGACACCAAGTGGCGGAGAGCTTGTTGAAACACAGCTGAAGATTTGTTCTTATTTATGGCGCTCAACACTTTATAAACAGTCTTAATTACGGGTAGCAATAGTTGTGAGCGCCGTGGTTGGACTTTTGGGACTTTGGGGTCATAGTAAGAGGGCAATGAGGTGATCTTCAAACCTACTGCGGCCGAGGGGATATTTATACAAGTGGGTAATCCTGAGGAGATGATTAACTCCAGAAGGCGTTGTTCAATTTTGTTCACCTCTCCACAGATGTTCTTATCATTATAGTAAATATTTTAAAAGAGGTGACATTTGCTAGAACCTGACCTAACCAACCAAAGAAACCTACCTAACCTGACCTAATTTCCTTGCCTGAGGTCCCCGTCACATTAAACAGGAAGTGCTTGTTTTAATATATTTTGAGGCGTCATGGTGTAATATTCTGTTTCTTTGTGGACGTGAGATTTTCTGAGAGTATTTACGGTTAATTAATTTTTCACGTACAAAGCACGTACAGACATAATTATAGTGTCATACCATCAGTTTTTCGACGTGTTTACCCCGTTTCCTCATCCTTCATGCTCTGCCCACTGCGGGTGATTTATGATCGTAGAGAAAAACTATATAAAATACTGTATCAAAATAAAAAGTTGTCGCCTCTAAAATACTTACTATAGTGATAAGAACATCTGTGTTATCAATGAACTTACATAACGGTGCTAGAACAAGCCACTTAAGGTATAGAGGGTCACTTAGGTACAGTAGATAAGTGTCACTGTGGCTGTAACTTAGCCTTGAGAATCTCGCCGAAGCTATTGGCTCCTTCACCGTTGGCTTCAGCGTAGCCTGGCATGGTGCTCTTACACCTGGCCAGCCACTTGACCACACGAGGTACTTATCAATCTCTACACCAGCCGCCACTATTGTTGACACAGTGGCCACCAGGCACATGTCCGCCACCGTCGTCTTGTTGCCGGCGGTGAAGGCGTAGTCCATGAGGAGGTGTTGAGCCAGCCAGAGCCTCGGTAACTTGTCCAGTTCTCAGGGCCTGGCCGCCCCCAGTACGGATACTGTCACATACAGTTACCTTAGGTTAGTGTGTGTTGATAGGTTAGTGTAAGCTGGGTTATTAGGTTAGGTTATGTTGGGTTAGGTTAGGTTAGGCTGGATTAGTTTAAGTTATGGTGGGTTAGATTAGGTTGGGTTGGGTTAGTGAGGTTAAATGGGTAACAAAATATTTTTATAAGATGTGTAATACATGATGCAAAGCGATATAGCTGTTGCTTAAAGGTAATTGATAATAATAAACTATGATGTGCACAGGAGGGCACCGCTGCCTCCACCACCCTACTCCTGCGTGGGGTTGGCGGTGGACAAATTACTACAGACCATTACAGAGTAGAGTAATGTTGTGTCGTCTTACTCCCATGAGGCGAGTATGATGAGAATACACATACAAGAAGTGATACTCAAGCAACGGTCACGAGCATGTGAAGTAAAATAATTTGTTTGATAATCCATTATCTGGAAGTAGACCACGTCAGCGTGTGGAAAATAACATTTATTCTAAATAACACTTAATAATGTGAACGAGTAGCAGAGATTAATAAGACCTTTAAACAACAGCTTTATCGTTTGGCATCATAAATTGTACAGTTAATAATAATAATAATAATAATAGTATTATTATTTTGTACCCAATTTAACCTCCCTCCCTCTTTGGCACAACTGAACTATGTGGTGCGCGGATTCTACACCGGACAGCCGCCAACTGAACTATTTTTGTTCATGTCCAGTTTGTATTACAATAAATGTGTTACCCACTTCCTGACTGTTTTAATTGCTAATTAATCCCTTCGGTACGATGTATTTTTAACTATTTTATTATGGCTGCTGCCAGTCAAAGGGTTAAGCAAAACTTCATTGTTTCTACAAGATATATATCCAAATACTGTTTATCCATAATCCATTTGCTTTTAAATGCCCAATTTTGCAAAGGAACTCCTTACCTAGATCATGAATTCTTCCCCCTCCCATTCTATTGTAACTTCAGCATTTTCATCTGGCTAGCACTTGACGATTACTTTTAGCAGAGGAAACCCCGCCATGCAGTATTGTCAAAATGTTATCTTGCATTGTGATCTCTTCCAACTGATACACAGCACATTTTTTGTCCTCATCCCTCTACTCGTACCCTGCCTCCTCCCCACAGCAAGACACCTACCCCGACACACCCCTCCCTCCCTCCCTCCCGCTTCGAATTCACAGTTTGGGGGTTCAGACCTCGGGGGGAGAGAGGACTGGCATCGCTAAGTGGTAAAGTCAGGAGTGGAATCAACTGTACTGTACACCCACCCATATACTTACAGCATACTCCGCCCATCGGTGATTTAAGGTCCCCATATCAAAGTCAAGTCGAGCGTCTACCAGACAACGCGCTCGTGGGTTGCTGGGGTAGAGGGAGTCGTTCTTACCGTACTGTGTCGCCAAGTAGGTGCAGATAGCGCGGCTGAAAATACGGTCAGCATTACTACCATACCATAACTTATCACTACCATACAATACCACGTCACTACCATACAATACCACGTCACTACCATAACTTATTACTACCATTAAAGTAAAATAACCCATCTTACCTCTCCCACAACTTCAGGTTACCGTCAACCATGGTAGGGATGGTGTGTTGTGGGTTAATAGCTATGAACTCTGGCTTGAGTTGCTCGCCGGCCAACACATCGACTTTCTTGAGCGTTAGGGAGAGGTTGAGCGCCTTGGCAGTAAGCAACACGGCCCTACTTGGCGGTGATAGTGGGTGGTAGTACAGGACGACAGCCATTGTTGCTTCTGTGGGCGTGAAGAATATATTTATACTATCTGTCTACTACCAACCTCCACCCAGAGATGATAAATATATTTTATTTTACTGATTAGATAATAGACATGATATTACCACCACTACTATCCATGGGAGGGGGGGGGGGAGTCCTAGGGGTTCCGGACCCTCTTTTTCACCAGATGTTGGAGGAGTATGAAGGAGTACAGTACCACCATTACCACTACCACCACTACTAAACACTATTACAATCACTGTCACTACAAGTACTACTACAATCATACCACCACTAACACCATCACCACTACTGCCACCACTACAGCCATCACAACAGCAATCACTACACCATACTACATATATCGTTATACCTTCACCACACCACACTACACTATACCACACTACACATACCTTTATACCTTCACCACACCACATTACACCACACTACACTATACCACACTACACCTACCTCTGTACCTTCAATACACCACACCACACTACACCACACTACACCTACCTCTGTACCTTCACTACACCACACTACACCACAAGACGTATTATCTATCAAGACAGCGTACTGTTCTTGTGATGTGATATGCCTCCACTTGAGATAACCGATCACACACACAGTTGCAGGGGACATATGTTTTTGTGAATATTTGTTCTGTGTACGTGAATGCTTCTCTGTATGTGTGTGTGTAAATACTGTATAATATAAAGAGTTTCTCTAAAAACCTACACAAACAAAAATATTACAATAACGATAAAGATAAGAACAGAAAGGTGTTTGGTTCATCAACAATATTGGAAGTTTCTTAATATATGAAGCATACTGATTACAGATTTGCTCTGAATTTTCCTGTAATACGTCTACTGTAGTTATCAAGTTATTAAAAATCTTATATGCAGATATTAGAATTGTTAACCTGACTAACCAAGTGCAGTTCAAGATTACAGCAGTGGAATCTCCTGCGCAAGTTTGGTAATTACACTATTCTAACAACATTTAATAAAATATAATAGCAAAAACTCTCAATGTAAAGTTACGAAAAATTATTGAACTTGAATTAACACAAGAGTGAGGGAAACGTTTATTGGTTCTGAGGAGTGGAAACGCTTACGATTTTCTTCTTTGTGGTTCTCGCAATTTAAAATATATATATATAAGGATTGGTATCTAGAATAAAAATGATTATTGATATATTATAGTCACTTTTTCTTCCATTATATGTGAGATATTACGTAGATGGTTTATAAGCGAGTGAGAGGTTCTGGGGGTGGTTGGTGTTGTCTCTTGGCCTCACACAACAACCTATAGTAAACAAACACAATGGCGGAGGATTTGGGTCAGAGTTTACAGACTTATACCGTTCAGCTGGAGCAGGTGAGTGTGTTGATGAGTGTGGTGAGTGTGGTGATGAGTGTGGTGATGAACAGGTGAGTGTGGTGGTGGTGAATGTTCATGGTGGTGAGTGTTGGTGGAGTGTGTGTGTGTTGGTGATGGAGTGCGTGTGTGTTGGTGATGGAGTGCGTGTGTTGGTGGAGTGCGTGTGTTGGTGGAGTGCGTGTGTTGGTGATGGAGTGCGTGTGTTGGTGATGGAGTGCGTGTGTGTTGGTGATGGAGTGCGTGTGTTGGTGATGGAGTGTGTTGGTGATGGAGTGCGTGTGTGTTGGTGATGGAGTGCGTGTGTTGGTGATGTGCGTGTGTTGATGGAGTGCAGTGCGTGTGTGTTGGTGATGGAGTGCGTGTGTGTTGGTGATGGAGTGCGTGTGTGTTGGTGATGGAGTGCGTGTGTGTTGTGTGATTGAGTGCGTGTGTGATGGAGTGCATGTGTGTTGTTGTGTCGTGTGTGTTGGTGATGGAGTGTGTGTTGATGGGTCGTGTGTGTGTTGGTGATGGAGTGCGTGTGTGTTGGTGATGGAGCGTGTGTTGATGGAGTGCATGTGTTGTTGATGGAGTGCGTGTGTTGGTGATGGAGTGTGTTGATGGAGTGTGTGTGTTGGTGATGGGTGTGCGTGTGTTGGTGATGGAGTGCGTGTGTGTTGGTGATGGAGTGCGTGTGTGTTGGTGATGGAGTGCGTGTGTGTTGGTGATGGAGTGCGTGTGTGTTGGTTCAGGAAGACAATGTGTAGATCAAGAGTTAACGTTAAGTATGTAGCTAAATGAAGTACCTGGTAATTTATATAGGACTAACCCGTGAGTGAAATTGATTAAAAACAATTATAAAAACTCTGGATTTTCATTGTTATATTATAGTGGATACTGTTGTAGCCCTGGCGGGTTAGTTCTCTGTATTAACCATTTATATTTATGAATTTAGGAAAATGTTATAGAGTATAGAGACAAAAAAGTGATGTAAGATGTTTGGGGTAAATGGGAAACTTTCGAAGGATGTCTCCACAGTTTTGATGAAGGTGTCATTTGAACTTCTCAACTGCCTCAGTATCACAGAAAGTTGCCCCCACAGGTGTTAATGACAGTTATTTTGTGCAGGTGGAGGCGGCGCTCACGTCCGACCCAACCAACGCCGAGCTCCTAAAGTTGAAGAGCGACCTGCAGGAAGTGATCAACCTCACTAAAAACCTCATCGAGACACAAGGTAAACACAATGCCTCGGCTGTTTTGATTATGAGTAAATATTCGTCCATTGGCTGTCCTCAGGTTTTGATACCAAAATAGTTTTATTTGGTGTATTATGGTGTGTCTTACTCATGTCTGACCTTCATCTCTTGTGCATATTAGAAGTTGTTGAAAAAAATTAAGATTTTCATTTGTAGCCGAAACTGCTAATAAGCACCAAAATGGCAGTCAGGTTTGAGTAAAATACGCCATAAAAAACCCTAACCTAACCTAACCATTTTTTGGAGCTAACCTGCTACTGTGGTGAAGGATACAGCTGGGTGAAGGAAGTGGTGGAGGATGGTTTCTTGATTCTTAAAATCAGATTGAAATAAATATTGAGCCAAATATTTATTATTGTGCTCCTTCCTGATGCCTGAATGCACGTGTCTTGAAATAAACTGACCTGAAAAGCACATCTAATAACTCGCTTTGACTTCTTGTCGGTATGCATATGGTTACAGACAAACGAATTTCTGTCTTTTCTTAGAAGTAAAAAGTTTTCACACGTAGGACACAGTCTTGATGTTGGTAGGACGCCGTGATCATGTGGATTGCTTAACTATTGTTCTGATAAACTCGCTAAATAACAGCTAGATAAGGGAGAGAGCACTTTTCACACGGCATCACGAGCCTTCAAAATTATTGGCCAGCCAAGTCACATGACACGATACTTGAAGATCATTGGTTGTCACGAAGAGGAGGAGGGGGAAGGAGACAAGTGACTCTGGCAATATGGCGGTACTGAAATTTACGCCTAGAAATTTGTGAGATACATTACTCCGTTAAGATCGATTTGCACAAGAAATGATATGAAGTCATATTTATGTTTTTAAGTCTTTGTGTGTTTAATATTGAAAATTGGAAACCTGCTGACAGCCAGTGGATGAATATTAACCTGATTATGTTCCTACGTAGTTGAGTCTTGGCCGATAGTGTTTTGTTTCTGTTGCCACGTGTTGTACAACAGCTAGACCTGTACTGTACTGTACTAGTAATACACTAAACTCCTTCTAACCCAATCTCATTTAATCTGGATCCAGCACCGGATGCATGTATCCCCAACCCAGAAAAGCCAACCAAAATCTTGTTATAGTGTGATTTTTCCCAGCTGAGAAGAGATGCCCCGGCCCCTCCTCAAGAGTTACAGCTGATTTCATCTTGAAGTGAAGATGTATTTCTAAATGAGTTTATTCATAATCGTTGGGATGACCATTTCTGACAAGAAAGATATTTAGCTAAATTATATAAGATACATACTTTCATTATTTCAATCATCAGCAAGTAGGAAGTTTATCAGAAATCTTATACATGAATTAACTGTTAAACTCGGGTAGCAAATTCATGCTTTAGGAGGACGCATTTAATATATACTTATTTTTACCCACAATAAGGCATACTAAGACAAATTACGTTTCAGTAATGCTACATTTTGCAAAAACTAACAATTTAAAAGATCAGAATCACATTGAAATATTACACAGTCCCTGAAAGTTGGTGGATGACTGTCAGACTGGGAAGCTTGGCCGCTTGAGCCGTTGGCAGAGGCGGGAAATATGAAGTTGTTCACAGTCATATTTCCCGCCTCTTCTGACGGCCGTGTAATATTAAATATGATTCTGATCTTTTAAAATGTTAGTTTTTGCATATTGTAGCATTACTGATACGTAATTTGTCTTAGTACGCCTTATTGTGGGTAAAAATACACTTGGAAAAAATACACTATAGTATGGGAGAAAGTTGGCCTAAGTGGTGGAGGTGGTTGTTGAGGAGCACTAAAGTGAAGTGTCTATGAAATGTAAATAGTGTACAGTACAGTCAATGACATAAGGAGTGGAGTCATAACCTCCTCTCCACCTTCAGTGGTGTACAGTGTGAGTGTTGTACACTCACCTCCTACCTCAACCATCTCCTGACCTCAAGAATGAACTGCCTCATGATAAGTGAATAATTATTGTAATTAGTACATAATTATTAACAGGTATCAACAGGTATATTAGTGTAGTAATAATGTGTACCATATAAAACACTTCTCTACTTGGTATGATTCTATTTTCACTTTCCTTATAAGGTTGCAGCCATTGGTGAAAATATTTATGGCTAATGAAAATGTGTATAAACTCATTTGATCTAATTGTGTTAAAAATGAATTTGGTATTGTAATGATGCTTTAAAATTCTCTACAAGTTTGTTTCAATAAAAGATCCATAAAAAATATTTTGACATTGTAATGATGGGAAGTAATTTTTTTATGAAAAAACATAAGAAATGTTTATGGCAGTCTAGAAAATCAGTTCTAATTAAGTTAGTACTGTAACACCAATTTTTTACCAAACTGATCCAGAAAAGTTCATTTTTAAAGTTTGTTTAAATAAAACAAAAACTATATGATATGGGCCTTCAAATGGAGGTATTTGAATGGAACTGTGTGTCACAGCCAAAACAGTACACACTACTGCCAAGCGTTTGAGAGCTCCCGGCAACTCCAGCTGCTGCAGGAATATGTTACATCACTACAAAAATAATCTCTATGGTATTATCAGTTTGTAATATTCTTAGTTGTATTACAGGTACAGTACACTGCAGTATATACAGTATTCGCTTGTTAGCTAATATATGACACAAGTTACCCAGTATATATTTATTGATATTTTCTGTTGAGTTATTGTTGGGTGGTGGTGCTGGCAGCAGGTGAGGTACTGTACGGTACTTAACTCAATTTTCACATTAAATATTATCATCATTGTTGTTTACAATCACTAAAGTATGGTGAGTAATGGAGTTCTTTCATCTTTTTCACTCTTTACAGCCAATTCAGTGACAAGTACTGCTGGTCTCAGCTCTAAGGAGAGCAGCAGCGAGCCTTCACCCATAAAAGCATGGAAAGTCGGGGACGAATGTCTGGCTGTTTGGTCAGAAGACTCACAATGGTAAGTGTGTTTGTGGCTGTCAACCTTAAAACTGAACACATTGTTGGCTCAACACTTATCACACACACAAGGACTGGACAATCCAAGTGGTGAGCTTAATTACTGTAGGATGCCTTGGGCCAGCCATCCTGTACCTCATTCCCCCACCCTCTATTTACTATCTCCAGCTTAATGAAATCTACAGAGATAAAGACATGAATTGTGTGTGTGTATATCATAACTCAGGAGGTGTTGTAGATATTTTACAGGACATTTGTATACAGTTTAAAGTAGTGATCGAAAAATGTTAGTTAAATGTGTATACTATATTTGGTTGTCAGTGTCTTAATGTATTGTTTCAGTAGCTATTATCAGTATTAATGTTTCAGTAAAATGTGGTAGTATGGGTGTCAGTAGTTCAAACACCCAGAAAATTAAGCAGGTTAAGAATGACACAGGGAAAGGTACTGTAGTAAGAAATGACATCAGAGTTAAGAACCTGATAAGAGAAGCTGCAAGAGACTGTACAGTGTGTAGAACTATCACCAGGAAATCACAGCTAACCCTCGCTAGAGCTTAAAATGGCTGTAAAACGTTGATGATGATGTCTGACGTGCACAGATATTTTTTTTTATAAATTGGATAATTTTGATATATTCTTACTTTTATTCTGGCTTAATTTTCACATCATTGCTACGACTTAAGTCAGCAGTCAGCAACATCCTGCAGTCTGCTATTTACACCACTGTATCTCTTGTGTACATGTCTTCCTCACACAATGAACATTATTTAGTTGCTGCCATCACCTTACAGACAGCCACTAGTCAGTACTTTTGTTTTTGCCACATGCACTCTCAGGCCCTTTGACTCAATTCTAGCCTTCTTTTTCTCAAATTTCTCTACTGTCTCTACAATACTATCTGCTCTCAGCACTATATAAGTCATCAGCAATACAACAACTTCTAGGGCAGACCAGTTTTAAAAGTACAGGTTACTGTGATATTGCCTCCGGCTCCCTTACTTTCACTTTACATTCCTCACTTTTCTCTCCGTATACTCTCACAGGGGATCTAGAGCCCTCATATATGGGTTGGGTTAGGTTTGTATTTTATGTTAAAGAAGACGAAGAAGCAACAGTGTATTAATTGGTACCATTTTGCAGGTACGACGCAGTTATCGATGCCATAACAGACGATGGCCTTGTAGCGGTCAGTTTCGAGGGCTACGGGAATTCTGACGTCACAAAACTCTCCTTGCTTAAAGAGAGAATCCCAGGAGAGAAGCGGGGACAACATCACCCAGGCTTCTCATCAGAATCTGAAAAAAATAAGTAAGTGATTGCAGTAAGTCTGATTAGAAATTGGATTATCTGAAGATTAGTCTTTCCAGGTTATTATTACAGGAATTATCCCCAATTGCCAGAACAATTGGTGCAGAATGTTTCTGTGTTCGAGAGATTTCAGGGAATTGAGATGAGTTCTTATACCCGGAAAAAATTGCACATTCAGAAGTTGCAGGGATCGAAAAGTCCAGCTATCAGGAATATTACTGTATAATAGATGATGATCTCATCCAGTTTCTCATAAGTACAGCACAGACAGAAAACTAATATTGTACAGTACTCTACAACAGTTATGTTTATTATTGACCAATAATCATTGTGTACAGTAAACCATTGTTATTTGCTGGTTTATGATTTGCAGTTTTGACTATTTGCAGCACAACGAGTCACCCCCATGTGCCCTCTGTGTCTCCTCTCTCTTGTTTGTGCTCAACCATGATGCAGTATCTCTTGTGTTGTGCTCAAAACTTTAGTGTTTGTGTGAAATGGCCCTGAAAAGACTGCCTAGTGTCAGTGCTAGTGATGCTAGTGGAATGAAATTTCAAAGGTAGAAGCCAGTGATGACTCTGACAAAGAAAGTTGAATTATTAGATAAGTTAAAATAAGGACATGAGTGCTGCCGCAGCTGGTCAGTTGTTTGGTATTGGTATACAGTAGTGCACTAAGGTAGTATAAGTTGCTGTTGACGGTTTTGCCTATTCATGCCATTCCTTGGAACCTAACCTCTGTGAATAACAAGGGTTTACTGTACACTGAAACATGTTTTGTGGCATTTGAAGACACTTTGAGGATTTTTATATATTTATTTTATTTTTTTGAACGTATCTCAACTTTTACAATGGGAGGCTCGAAGAAACAGTGTGTTTTGATAATGAAAAATTGATTGGAGCTCTTTTATAAATTGGGGAATGCCTCTACTCCACTGTACTGTACTTCATTCAATAACATCCATTTTAATGATATTGTAATAGAAATGTTCTTTTACACCACCAAATTATACATTACTCAAATCAAACAATGTTTGCATTACTTTATACCCAAACTGTATGTCCTCCTCAAATGGGTAGCTATATAAATTACATACACAGATCATGTTTGTAAACTCAGACACAGTTAATTGTTCATAATGTTTTGTCGGTTTAGCTTTTGGTTAACGTAGGTTAGGTTTGGTTTACATAGGTTAGGTTAGGATGGCTTCAGTTAAGTTACATTAGGTCAGGTTAGCATAAGGTTAGGGTAGTTTAGTGATCGGTTAGGTTAACCCCTTTAATATGGGGATACCACTTAATATTTTATTTGGCAAATGCCAGGCAATTTTATTCAGCAGAGAGAGCCTGTACATATGTGGTTAAGTTTGGTTAGCATAAGGGTGTTAAATCATGAGCAGTAATAAGGCAGGGGTTAACATGTGATGCTTTCATATACACAGCTGGGTGCTTGTATTTTATCCTTACAGAAGAAAACAACTTGAAGCCCAGCGTCAACAAGCCAAGAAACGGAAACAGCGAAAGCACGACCGTCTGAAGCAGATAGAGGAAGCCCATGAGGCAGACAAGGCCAAGTGGCAAGCTTTCTCCACTAAAGTTAGAGGGGTAAGTCTTTTGTCAGTTAACCTAACCTAACACACTCATGGTCCTTGGCCCCACTACCTAGAATTCCCTCTCACAGCCAACTAAAATCTGAGATATTGGCTGCTCAGTGACTTTTTATTTTCACTGGGGTGAGGTGTTAGTGGTCTCATGTTACTGATCTGAAGATGTCTTGAATAAAGACAAAAGCTAAGGTGCTCCAGTGTTTCCCTGTTTCTGTACAGTATGTGGTACTTTCACACTTGCTGTTTGTACAGTACAGTATACATAACTCTAATCACTTTTTGTCTTAACACTGCTTTAACACTATTGTTGGCTGATTGTGTCCTGGTACAGTAGTGTACACTACTGTACAACACAACAGTAACTAGAGAGAGAACAATCTTCTACAATGGCAGCAAAATATGGAGTAAGAATCCATGCAGCTAGGCCACTCATGCGCCTGGCACGTGGGGTCATATTGGAGTGTACTGCAATCTCTCGGAAATTTGTTCTTAGGCTCAGAACGGCTATTGGAGAGTTCCGGGGGGCAGGAGATTCCAGCTAATGGCGATGTTACTAGTACAGGGGGCCCCCAGATTCGTGGGGGTTAGGTTCTCAAACATTTGTGGACGGGGGTTACATTTTTATGTGTGTACAAAGAAATGTACATTCCCTTTATGTGTTTGCCCTTAGGACAATTATTTCTTTTACCTGTAGTATTTGTATATGTATATATATATATATATATATATATATATATATATATATATATATATATATATATATATATATATATATATATATATATATATATATATATATATATATATATATAACACAGATAAAGGAAATTACTGTCTCTAGAATGAATGGCTCCCTGTCCCAGCCGCAAAAATTCCGGCAACTTTAAAACTACCCACAGACATTCTTGGGTACATCCAGGATGTCATCCGCGAATAACCGAGAACCACAAAGTAAAAATCCTCGAACTTGGGGGGCATACTGTACTCACCAATAAACATTGCAGCAAATAATTAAATTTCTTTAAAGGGAGAGGTAGGAGGGGAATTAACCCAATATTGCTGCACTGAATGGTCTTTAGAGTTGAGACGTTGCTGTTTGTAGCCTCACTCACTCCACACAACAACCCTCATACTCTTCACTTTCAGAGGTATCTAAGTCCCCTATTATTATTACTATGAATTAAAGCAGACTTAGTTTCTTTATTTCTCCTGAGCACTCAACAAGGTATGATGAGTAATGATAATGGGGTTTATTTACAGTTGGTATCACAATATTCACTAAACTGAAGGAAATGTCACCAAATATTCCCAACAATTATCCAAAATATGCAGTCACTCGGAATCGAATATGACGATCATCCAGCTATGATACAATGATACGAGTTATTAAGGATGTCACCGACGTTGGCGAGTTCTGAGGAGACTAAAGAGGCCTGATGCGGAGCTCCACCACAGATTTTTCGCTCGGGGTTTACTCCCGTAGCCTTATACCAACCAAGGTTAATACGCAAGGCAGTGGGGCAGTGGTTGGTAGGCACCAGGATGTGCCCACATGCCAGTGGACCTATGTGCATTCCTTTTGGGACCCACTGCTACTTCGAGATCCCGTGCTGGTCTAGCCTGGGTCCACGAGGCACCCAGTTACCGTGTGTTGCCATGAGGAAGCACAGCAGGGGTCTTGATAGTGAAGAGGCTGTGTACTGGTAGGGGAAGACTTATGCAAGTTGCTTCCTTGTTCACCGCGAGGGCTAGCCAGCGGCGGTAATTGAAAGCGAGAGGGAGCAAGCAGTGCTTGCCCCTTAACACTAGATGCATTACACCACCTTGTGTGTGCATGCACACACACACACACACACACACACACACACAATGTAATCTAGGGGATGGAAATGTGAATTTGAATAAAATTATCATGCGGGCAATGACCAAGAGGGTGCTGGAGGTACACTCTTACCAAAAACTTCTCTACACTATAACCACCATGCAATCTGAAAAATGAACGGAGAATCAGAAACAATTCTGAGATGACAAGCTGCATTCTGCTCATTCTCACATCCATTGTGCCCAGGTGTTGGAGAAAATTTTGTTGAGAGTGTACAGTACATTTACCATGGATCTTTATGCTACAACCTGTAATGTGACCAAATTACATGCTTCCATGGTGGATATTTATTTTTTATTTTTTATTTTTATTTTTTTTATACAATTATTTGTAGCTTGTGGATGCAAACCGGTGAGTTCAAGACTGTGAGCGTAGTGCAACCTTTCAGACATGTCAGTTGCATCCAAGACCGTGAATGTTAACCTAACCCACCAAAGTTAGAGGGCTAAGTTTTTTTGTTCATTAACCTAATATAACCTTATTTCTCTCCTTTACTAAGCTCAATCATTTCCTTCCCCTCAACACCATCTTTATATTACAGACCAAGAAGCTGAAGGGGGTGACGAAGAAGTCGATCTTTGCAACGCCCGACGCGGCGAATGGTAGAGTCGGCATCGGCACCTGTGGCATCGGCGGGAAACCAATGACAGAATACACACACGCGGAAAAGTGGCGGAAAGGGACCTAAGATGCGGGTGGAGACTTTGTCGAGCGTTCTAATAATACATTTATACCGACGGACTGAAAGCTGAAAATATCTCGAGTGGCGGATAATGGACCCTAAACTGTCAACCATACCGATACATTTGTACTGACGAAGTGAAAATGTTGAGTGACTGGACCACCTCTGTATGTGACGACGCTAAGGTTAACAAGTGTCCAGGACGTGGGATGTACTTAACGTCAACTTGTTCATCACCTTCAGTTCGTTGTGTATTTATATTGTGTATCTATCTTTATCAGTTTTTGAATGTAGACGTAGAGAGAGTCAAATTTATACCTTAAGTTCCGTTAGGGAGAGAAGCTGTGTGTACAACAACCAGAAAGTTTAATATCAAAACCAAAAGGTTTAATAACAACCAGAAAGTTCAAGAATAAGCAGGTAAGGAACAGAATCATAACAGTGGAATGCATACGTTCATTGACACTATAGTTTATTTTTGGTTAGATTATTTTTGTGTTGCGTTACCTCGTTTCTTGGTGAACATTATAAACATTATTATTTGTTGTGTTAAAATGTCCAAACTCCTGTAGAACATCCTGGTATAGTGGCTTGCTTGTGTCTCCCTATGTTTTATTACTCTCTTCATCAGATGTAAAACTTGTAATGAAAACTTTTAATCAGAATGTTGTATTTTCATCCCAACCTTCAACTGTCCATCCCTTTTTTTTTATTGTATTATAATTAATTTCCTCGTGAGCTTTAGGAAAACTTATGTGACCTGTTGGATGGTATGGTTTCTTTTCGTTTAACTACTGGAGCTTCGCTCATCTGGAGGCAACAAATTGTCCTCGTTAACTACTGGAGGGAACAAGTTGTCCTCGCTCAACTACTGGAGGGAACAAATTGTCCTCGTTCAACTACGGGAGGGAACAAGTTATCCTCAATCAACTACTGGAGGGAACAAGTTGTCCTTGTTCAACTACTGGAGGGAACAAATTGTCCTCGTTCAAATATGGGAGGGAACAAGTTGTCCTCATTCAACTACTGGAGGGAACAAATTGCCCTCGTTCAAATACGGGAGGGAACAAGTTATCCTCAATCAACTACTGGCGGGAACAAGTTGTCCTTGTTCAACTACTGGAGGGAACAAGTTGTTCTCATTCATCTACTGGAGGCAACAAATTGTCTTCGTTCATCTACTGGAGGGAACACGTTGTCTTTGTTCATCTACTGGAGGGAACAAGTTGTCCTTGTTCAACAAGTGGAGGCAACAAGTCGTCCTCGTTCAACTACTGGCAGTGTAGCTGAGACCATTACCACCAATCCCAATTGTATCATTTAGTAATATGTTTGTACTACATTGAGTGTTTTAAGGATAAATTTTTTAAATAAAAAATTAGGGCCTCTGTTCCTTCAAGTACAGGAATAATAGTTGTTGAAAGTCATAAATGATGAAGAGTGAGTGTTATGTTAAGTCATGGAAATATTTGCCAACTAATATTGGTGTACTGTATGTGTACCAACTACCAAATGATTTGTATCGTTCTCAATTTCATGATATAAACATGAATTAAATATAATGTACACACTTTATTTCTTATTTATTTACTGGAGTCATATCTATTACATCAGGCTCAATCATATCCGTGTATTTTAACGGGACAGTTACCCTGAGCCCAAGTGCAGCCAGGGGCCCACTGCAGTGCCTTCCTGGTCATGACTACAGTATATCATGTAATGTGGTCAGGTCAGAGAAGCTTTAGTGTTATTGGTGGTCAGGTCAGGCCCGGTGCTTAGGGGGTGCAGCAGTGAGAGGAACCCGGGCTTACCAGCAGAGGTTTGCCCAGGGCTCCACCATAAGTGTTTAAAATGGCCCCAGGTGATAAGGAACAACTCAATCACAATGAAAACATTAATTGGTGCGTGGTAATATAAAGCATATGTGGAGTGGGATAACGTGTTCTAGTTATTGATTTAATGTTCTTATAGTTTCTTACCTTTTATAAGAGTTATGTTGGTGTCTCCATTTTCCATCACTGTATTGGTAAGAGAGTTTATCACTGGTGAGCTGTTGTACAATTGGGTGTTTTCTAATTATTACACACACTATTTTATACAGTTTGTACAAGGAAGATCTGTTATGGCTATTCTTCCTATCAGAGTTTATCACAGGTAAATGCTAAGGCTCAAGTTCTGAATGATGTCTGCCATTTTTGTTTGCCGAATTTACTTCCCTTTTATTTTTACTTACCTGGGAAATCCCTTGTTATGTTACAATCTTCAGTACTCACGCTAGCTGCCACCACCCAGGTTTCACTACCAGGTGATAGTAACAGGACACTTGGGTGGTAGCGAGTACTAGGGCATGTGGGTTTATTTGTGCTTAATGGTATCAAGGTGTGGGGAAAGAAACATAGGAGAATGATACGCCTAACATACAATAAAGATAGTTTATTGAAAATTTAGTTGAATACCGGACACTTTACCAGAACATCCACCTATGAACCACCCCTTTGGGTTCACTCAAGATTTGGCCAAATTTATGTTAACACTGATACAACTCCAAAAGTCACTTGGTCTTCCACGACAGCCAAACAAGTATTCATGCCAACAGGACCAATGTTCAGAATTAAACTCATGTCAAGTGCCTAGAATGGCAATACATTGTGGGTGGTGCGGAGCTTCTGACCACTACATCCGCCAGGTCCATGGGTATAAGTTACATTTCAAAGTGTCTACCATTGACAGCTTATTCCCTCAAGATAAACGAGAATCTTAACTACAAAACTGACAGCAACTTCACTACTCTCATCAGATATTCTGAGGTCTGCAAATCAAGGAAATTAACTGCAGTTTTGAACAGTCATCTCATAATTTCACACGAAACATAAATTGTTTCCACCTGGAAACTGAACACTCAAAAACATTTCTTAACACTATGTACTCTACACATAAAGATATATGACACTTTCAACATATACTCAATACATCTTGAATGCTTTATCTCACTGTAGGTATATCTGACTTATGGCTACTCATATAGGTTATCTCTTAAATTTAACTTTACATTGTAATAGTGACACCAAAACTTTAGAAGAAAACGGATAATACCTCTCGCTAGAGAAAATAAGTCTTTTTCTATGGGTAACGCATTAGTTTCGCACATGTTTTGTGGACGGTGGAGCATAATATTGTTATGCCGAGCTGTGATGACATTACCCTGTGAGCAATGTTGTGAATAATTAGTGCTTATTAAAGAATACTTCAGTGCACAAGTGTGTTTCTGTGACCAGGTGGAAATCTACCTGCCAGTTGTTTGTCTGTACACTGATACCGATCACCGGGAAATTACCGGCGGAGACTGGCAGGACAGCCAGTGGTAATTCGACGACTCCTGTGAGATATCTACTGCTTCTGTACATACGACCTTGGCCGCTGGTAACCAGCAATGGAAGCTGGGTAATCGGTGAAAGTGGGGTCGTCACAAAACGAATAATTAAGTGTTGAAATTACTACCCATACAATTGTGACCATGACACAAATGCACATTTAAACACCCTCACACACTCAAACACTAACTCAATTGAATGAAAGGATTTTAAAGCTCATAGAGCTCTATTGAAGTGAATTTTACGATCGCACACATCGAGTTCGTCCTCATGCAGCCACAGGCGTGACGCCACGCCCGTTTAGAAGACTGACAGGGTAGATCGTTCTACTGGGGTTCACGTATCCGGTGCATCTACTTGTTGAGTTTATTTATTTTGGTCCTGCATACCTAGCATGTCCCTCAGCACCCAGAGCTGGCACACCTCAACAATCCTCCATCCATGGATGAGGTAGCTACTACCATCAAACCGATGAAAAATAACAAAGCCACAGGACCTGGTGCGAACTCAGCGGAGGTGTATAAAACAGGAGGACCCCTGCTGACCAGCTGCCTCCACTCTCTCCTGGATAATGTATGGGAACAGGAGGAATTCCCCCAAGACCTCAAAAACTCCACCATCGTCAGTCTATAAGAACAAGGGAGACCGGTCAGACAGTGGCAAACGCCGGGTTTCCTGTCTCTTGAATTGAACCCATAGTAGTTTATTTTTTATAATTAATAGTTGTTATCCCAACCTAACAATATGCACTTGATAATAGGTGATAGTCGTTAGAGGACCACCCACCAGTGACAGTGTTGCCCCCCAGACTCTGACGCTGAGAGCTGCTGTGAGTCACGCCCTCAACCAGTCTTCTGGCCACTACAACTTATTTAAGCCCTACACACAGACGATCATAATATTAGTGTGTGTATATACAGTACCTTAGCCTAAATGTGATGATAAATTTACCTAACTTCTAATTACCTTTAACTTTTTCAATGGAGTCTCACTCTAAGTGAGTCAGTTCGACATACTGCCATTGTCTGCCCTATTACAGTACAGTACGTCATATAAACACGAAAAGATTCCTATGGTTGTGACAATATTAATATCAGTATTAATTTTAATATTAACAGTAACATTTGTAATGAATCATATCATATGTGTGTTACTACCCCGGCAGATATATCCTTTAAGGACTGTACTATCATGACTTTCTAAACCTGTTCAATTTACACCTATAAATTTCCTATACTTATACTATACTTATTATTATGATGATATACGACACCTGATAGATTTCTTTCACACATCTATTTATATTGATTTTATTAATATTATTTCTTAATATACTGCAACGGAACACAAACTGAACATGATAAAGAAAAAAAGGTTGAAGAATTTAGCCAGACAACTAGTGTTCCTTGATGACCCAAGACTATTGATGGGGAAGACAGGAGAGGGGGAGAAAACGCGCCAGAGCCTTGGTTACCTAAGTTCTGTGTGGCTTCAATAGATGACGATAGTTGTCAAATGAATTTGTCGTCTGCATGTTTACATAAAGTGACCCGGGAATTTTAATACATGTTAGGATGAGTGGAAGAGGCCATCGGTGTTTCATATGTAACCGTCAAAAGAAGAAGAATTCAGAGGTTGTTTTTCATGTATTTCCAAAGGATAAGGAAAGAGAAGGATGACTTTAATTAAATATTCACAAAAAAAAACATACATGTTAAACTGTACACAGTAGATATCATAAGAAATATATGAGTCAGGTTGATAAGCATGTGTCATTCATAACGATACTCAAATTTGTAGCAGTCATTCACATATATGAGGCCCATGACAACTAGAGCAGACTTTCTAAAATAAATTTGAATCATATTCCACGAGGACTTGATACAGTGCACTGAATATTAATGGTAAATTGTCCATCTCACTCACATTTATGATAAGTTCTCCCTGTAGTACTGTAGCACTTTTCAAACACTATTGACTGATAATTATGAAAGATGAGGATTTTTAAATAACTTACAATAATATATCATATCTAATGGACATTGATATTCCATATTCAGCTTCTTTACTTCATTTTTTAGAGCATTGTTAACTAGGAATTATATAAAAATTGTCCTAACTGAAACTGAAATAAAAATAGAGACATGTTATTTACTAATACCCTGTATATTACTGTTTGTCATTTTAAATTGTAGTTTTCAGATGTCATGCATGGCTGAGAGCATTGAGTATGCAAAAGACTTTAGAAAATTTAAACAAGAGCCATATAGTATGCAGCCACCATTTTTCAGAAA